CAATCATTTTAAAATAAACATAATATGTATTTAAGATGAAATGGATAGCAGATTGTTGTAACAATAAATATTTTTTTTTTACATAGTATCAGATAGAAGACCAAAAAGACTGAGATATTTGTTACATTATCATGGCATTTTCAATCGCACTTCTAACACTACATAATTGATATACAAAAAATAAATTTGTAAACTATATTTTATATTGACTCTTCTTTCATAATAGGTATATTTAGTTAGTAAAAATAAAACATAAGTTTGAAGATTTAAAGTATCCTTATAATTAGCGTTATTTACGTGTCACCTGCGAAAAAATCACGATGCGGCGTATAAATCGTTGACGTTAAACATAATATTCGTTTTAAAACGTACTTTATCTACCAATTTACATAATAGATTCGAACAAGGCTCAGACTGCTGGGGGACGAAAGATAGCGCTTGCTATCTGATAGATTTTCGATTTTAATTTCATTGACATTTTTCATTTTGTCTTTGATTGTAATAAAATTTTATATTCTATAATATAAATTTTATTGCCAAAAGTTAGGTATATATGATATTTTAAAATTCGAACCATGCTACCTTTTTAATTGGTAATTTAAAAAAATACCTTAAATAAAGTTTTAATATTTCCTGTTAAAAGCATGTAATGGTCATTTTAGAAAAGTACTAAAATAGTATAAAGTATAAACGAAGATAAAATAATATTTTTTATGATCTCGAATATTATTAAAATCATTATATCCACTATCAGAACGCAATATAAGTATTCAATATTATATTAAAAGTCATTTTAGTTTTAAATAACTTTTAATGAATTTTAGGTAGTATATATATAGATATCTAAAATAATATTTTAAATGACAATTATATTAATAATTACAAATTTTATTACAAAATTTTAAAATACCAATACAAAGAACCACATTCTAAAGTACCTAAGTAAGCAATAATGCGAATGCCCAGTCCAGCCAACCTGTAGATTTCATGCTGTAATTAGGTAGAGTCCTCACGTGGCAAATGGGCGTAGCGTTTCAGTCTTACGTTTTCAATACGAATATTTGTTAATATTCTAATAATAATGTTATTTTCATTACAAGTTATTATTATGTGTGTATACAACGATTCAATATAACGGATAAATTATATTATGTAGTTATATTATATTGGCAATAAAAAACGCGAAAAAAGTATAACAATTGACAAAGTCAAGATCACATCCGCATGCAAATAATTCGGTTGCTAAGCGGATATAAAATTCGAGATTCCTTAGCTCTTAATACGCTCTACGTGTACGAATAATATGTTGTTTTTAGAGGTAGGTAGGTACATTGACGGGACTATGTATGTACCTGTATTAGAAGTTCATATACTTCATACATTTTTTGTATTGAAATTTAAGTTGATATTTTGCATCATAGCAAAACATAACAACAATATCTTTGATATGTGGCGTGTAAAAAATACACGTTGCTAGAAGAACCGGTGCGACCGCATACCGTGCGCGCGCTCGCGGCAAGGCCTTGCCGGCACCTGCGCCCGCGCCGCTCGCGCTCTCCACTCACCCACTTTCACGTTTGGACTTGCACCGACATCGCACATTGACATTATAGATACTCCCTGTTATCACTTCACGTCATCCCTCTTCTTTTATAGGCAGCCAAACATAAGAGAATCCGAGAATTTTAAAGCCTGCATTTTATTCTGGTATTATAAATATCATGAGTTTTATTTTCAATCTCATATTAATTAAAAGTTTAAAATTAGATGGAAGGTTACACTAATGTGAAGAGGTAGATAATTTAAGTAATTATCTATAAGGTACGGAAAATACTGTTTAATCCTTGGTTACAAGCCAAACTTGCACTAACAGGACAAGTTGAATCCAAGAGCTTTCTTGTATAAGTTAAATTTCCTGGAATATCAAGGGCATAAATTTCTATATATACTTTATAAGTATTTAATTTTACAAAGTGTGCTACAATATGTAAAATATTGAACTTAAGCATATATTTTCTGTAGATTTTTTAAGTATATTTCAAAACAACTGATTTAACAATTATCTGTCATAAAAATTTAATTGAAAATAAAAAGTACCATCTCAAGAAAGAAACTTTAATCACGCATTGACAATAATTGACACGATTCATTAAAGTGAGCGGTGCGCGGGAGCCGCGAGATGCTATCAGTAGCTACTGAGCTGTACAAAAACTAATAGTACCCTCGGGTCGCAAAGCAAAAAAGCTATAGCATGGTATCTAATGATAGCTTTCATAGTTTAAACTTGGGAGAAATACAATGAGCACCCAAACGCAATTCCATTCACTACTAGATACCTATTTCTTCCGAAACGATACAAACGAAAAAGGGATAAATCATAAAAATACCATCTACGGGATAAGATCCCATCGACGTTATGTGGCACGCGACAAAAAAGCCCATTAGGTAAGCAAATGTATATATTAATACAGAATAAGCGATAAATCTCGCGATGGGCTTTCGAATTCCGCGCAAGTCATCCGACGAGGTGAGATCGACTGGGAAATACCACACACATATACGTACCAAGGTGTACAACCTTACTTACATACATACTAATGTCGTGTCTCTGCCAACTATGCAAAGATAATGTATTTATTATATATTTTTTACGAACATTATATACTTTCATTATGTATTTTAATTTTTATATGTGTTCAATTTCAATAAAACATTAAATTTATAAAAGAATTGCTAGCGTAAATACGAGTAGTTGGATATTCTACCGTTCCAGAACTCGTAATGCAAAACGTTTGCTTCCGTGTGTAGGGTTTTTGAGTGAGCGTCCGCGCCATCACCGGTACCTTCATCTAGTATATCCGAGCCAGCCGCACGTGCCTTGCAACTTTATCATTAACTCTAGACTTAATACACTAGCATGACACCTGCACCTGTACGTAATACCGTTCATAATCGCTCATAGCAAAACAATCACTATCACTATATCTATTATTTCGTCATGTTGATGTCTTGCGGGCCATACTTTCACATCCGCACTCAGGTGCCGTTATTGCTACCCGCAGGATTTATTTTTAATTTTAAAGCAATTATGTAATATTATAATATAATATGAACATAAGTTGTATGTATATATTTACAGGATAATTGATTATGACATAATATCCGTATAATATTAACCTACTTTGCGGACGCATGGGTTACGAATTACATACATACCATGCGTACCTACTATGTGTATATTTTTAAATAACGATAATTATTTACGGAAACTTTTAATCATACGTCAAATTTAATAGTTTTACTGAATTAAACGTGTACCTATTTAAGTTTTTATTTGTCTACTCACTATAACTGTGTGTGATATTTAGAGATTTCAATTTGAAAATATTTAAAATAATTAGGTACATAATGGCATTCAATCATCATACGTCTGTAGACTTTTCATAAAATTACTAGAATAAAACCTATAAAAGTGTACATTCAACTCTCAGACTTTTAAAGTAAAACTTACAATAGCAAATAACAGATAGCCATATTTTAAGTTATCATAGTCAATATTTAAAGTTTTTTTTTTAATTTATTTCAGTAATGTATAAATACAAAAAAAGATTCATTAGTAAATATTTTGGACGATCTTGAACTAGAGATGTCGAACATCTAGAGTTTTTTTTAAGAATCTTAGAAGGTCACTAATCAAATTACTACTTATTGTCTAGGTGCGAGCATGTCGCACGTGTGACTTGGAATTACTATTCAGTACTAGGAGCGTGATAAATTTATATAGTGACAGCTAACGTTCTGTAGGCATACAAACGTTCTTTAAATAAAACTTGAAAGACAATTATGAGCAGAGAGTAGTTACAATGACATTTTGAATGCTTCATGAACAACTTATACCATTGTTATCTTCGCCGTTTTAGAATTTAATCTAATAAAAGAATTCAAAATATACTGCAGATATTCAAAAATGATGCAACTTTTCAAAAAAGATACAAATGGTAATGTTTTTTTTATATATTTTTTTAATAATATGAGTTTCGTGTTTTCTTGATTTTAACTGAATTTTTGGAACGAAGTTCCTTAACGCGACTTGCGGTGGGAGTTGACAGGTCGCCCCCAACGTGCATTCACCTTGTCGTGGGGGGAGAGGGAGCTCAGTAATGCCCGGCAATACAACTGGGCGCGAAGCCAAAAAACACGTGCTATGCAGGTTACTCCCGGTACTATCAGAGGATAGCAGAGTGGAGTGGAGTGGTTGTTGTGGTCTGCTTCGGCAGTTGCAGAAGTTATTGAGTGCGTAAGCGATCCTGCGATACCCCATCAAGTTTTAAGACTAGACTAGACTAGTTTTAAGGCTGTTACTAGCTTTGCCGGTGAGTCCCACATAACCACCTGTATGTATGCAAATGGCATGCCTAAACGCCTTTCCCAACGTTAAAAATAAGAAGTTGACAGGTGGGGTACCCGATGTGTGTTCACCTTGTTGTGATTCGTATAAATATAGTAATAATTACGTACTTGATTGAGAAATCAAAGGAAGCGGGTTCAAAACCTGAGTGTTTCACCTCTGATATTCTCACGTGCGAATTCTTTTTTCAACATGATTACGGTGAAGGAAAATATCAAGAGAAAACCCGCACGTCTGGGAAAACTTAGCAAGTTTTCAAAAAATATGTCAAGTCCGCAAAGCCGCACTTGGTCAGTGTGGCGGACTATGGTCTGATTCCCCTGGTATAAAAGTAAGATCTGTACCCAGCAATAGGACGTTGAAAATGGTTGAATAAGTATAGTTATAACATATTATACTTTGTTTCTCACCCTCTCATTTTATACACTTATATTTAAATATATTGCTTTAACTTAATAAAATTATATAAATAATGGATAAAATGCGATATGCTCATAATAATGTCACGTTAATTATATCAAAACAAATTTTAATTTGCTATTTCCAAACCAGTCGTAAAATTTTAAATTGTTAGAAAAAAAATAATTCATACCTTACAGATGCAACGAAAGCAACTGCTCCAGTCTTGCTCTAGTCTCTGGTCTTGGAGACGAACAGTTTCACCTTCGTTAGAACAGGGTGCTCGTTGGCCTTCTAGAATGAGAAAAAATTTCTTACTACATATTTTATCTTTAAAATTCATAAAGTAATTTGCACGATGCAAATATAAAATTTGTTTCTAAATTTTCTGTCCTTTTGTCTAGACTTGTCTTTGCAATGACCGGAATAATTTAGATTATAACATACTCTATAAAAACTTTTTAACAAAAAAATAAAAACCGACTTCAAACAAAAGCACTAAAAATTAAAAAATAACTGATTGGTAGTTTTCATTTACTATACATACCTAATCAAATATTTTCGAAGTCGGTGTGCTTTGCTTTGTATGGGCTGGCACCGATTTCGAAAATATTTGATTAGGTATGTATTTAATAGGTAGGCTTTAATTACTTAGCCAAAGCACACCGACTTCGAAAATATTTGATTAGGTATGTATAGTAAATGAAAACTACCAATCAGTTATTTTTTAATTTTTAGTGCTTTTGTTTGAAGTCGGTTTTTATTTTTTTGTTAAAAAGTTTTTATTTTTCCCTTTTTAGTGTAGACAGTAGTAGCAAAGTAAGAATTCTAACGTCGAATCAAACAAAATAAGCCCAAACTCAAAGTATCTACTATTAGCCGTTGAAGAGTTCCACCTATCCACCTTCTAGCCTTACCATCAGATCAGGTCAACAATACCGAACCACTGTACTATCAACGGAAATAGAAACACTTGCAAAGTTTCAAGTCAATATGACAATTAGAAGTAGGTTAAATCCATCATTAGCTATTTTTCCACCCTTAGGGGTGGTATTTTTTTTTGAAATTTAAATGGGACCAATCTGGAAGTATACCCTTTCAAACAAAACAAAAATTGTCCAAATCGGTTAATAAATGACGAAGTTCTGAGGTAACAAACATAAAAAAAAAAACAAAATAAAAATACAGTCGATTTGAGAACCTCCTCCTTTTTGAAGTCGGTTGAAAATTAAATTAGATCCGTAGGCAATAATAGTAGTTTATTGTTAACTTGGTACGTAGATAAAAAGTAGCTTATACGTATGTTTATCTAAAATATAAGCTATCTCCATTTCAAATTTTACTTAAATCCGTTAACAACAATGTGAAAAAGTAAGAAGCATACGCCATACACACTGATGCCCAATTTCACCAACGTCACCTAAGTTTAAGGGATCCCCTAAGGATGGTTAGGGAGCTGTTAGGGGACAGTTTCTGTTTCATCGACAGTTAGGGGTCACCTAAATGTTAAAAGGTCCCCTAAATTTAGGTGCTCGAAATATAGGCTTAAAGACGATGGTAAAACAAAATTTAATTTAGGGGCTAGTTTATGGGGAATTTTAAACTAGGGATCTCATACGTAAGTGGTAGCTTATGGGTTGTTGGTGAAATTGGGCATGAGTCCCGTACTAAATTCTCTTAAAAATAAATAACTCTTCTTAAAATAACTTCTCTCATTTTTAACGTTATTGTATAGAATAAAAACGATAATGAATGGAACGTTGTCCTCATTTTGCAGTGCCAGCAATTATAATCATCTCTACATAACTCTAAAAATTACGCAAATGCGAAAATAAGTCTCATGCTAATAATACATAAAAGAAAAGGGTCATGTTATCATAATATAAAAAGGCATGCAGATTTTACCGTCTTGATCGATTAAGTTTTAATAATCAAATTAATCTGTATCGTTTCTTAAATATATGCCGCTTGTATACAAGTTAAGATTATAAAATGATATTTACAGACATAGTCTATAATATTTTTGAACATATTTTTATATATACAAACAAAATTACAGCAAGACTATTGTTACTAAACATAATAGTTGGTCTAAATAGAAGATGTAGGTGCTTTTTGAATAAATATATAGGTATATAATACATATATACTTTAAATGAAGAACTCAATAACTAAAAGTCAGTTAACAAAGAGCAAAAAGCATTTTTAATAAGCAGTATAGAATTTAACGATCAAACATAAAACTAGTTACGTTCAAGTATTAGCAGTGAATCTCTCATTATGTCGAATGGACATATAATATTTGGCGCTACATTTTAGCGGATGGTGGCCACATGATGGTGGCTGTCGGCTGTCGCAGCCGTTCGATTTACCTTGATGAAGCCACAGATCCGCATTCTTATAACGTACCGAAACGGCGCCACCGGTTACTAAGTTGTACGTAAATATTTTGGTAATTAATGTATGCTCGACTCAAACACCACGATCCCGCAGACGATAAATATGCGAAAATATTTGCCGGCTATTATTAATGGACTCGCATTTAATGCATAAAGCAGTACATCAATTTTACATTCATTATATAGATATTTATTATGCAACGTCATTTGTAATTGAAATTAATTATAAATAAATATAAATTGTACGATCTCCTATATCCATCGTAAGTAATTATGTAATATTTGGAAAAAAAATTGTTTTAGTTTCTTGATCAAGTTATATTTACATTTCATAAGAGCCGTATCTCATAGCAACAAGCGGGTCTCAAGGTTAGCGAATATTTGAATAATATCACTAAATCGTAGTAAATCAAGGAAATAGAAGCTTCTTTATTTTAAAAAAAACACTTTTAAGACACTTTATAATGAATAATTTGTAGAGAAACAATATAAAAATAACAAGTTATTGCTGTAATAGCTTTTCTTCTAAAAGTTTAAAATAGATCATTATTATTTATTCAAATATTTTGTATTATAAAATATATACAAATTTGGTTGTAGAGTTCAAAATGCTTAATTTGCCTGACCTAACTTTCGATAAATTAAATATTGCACATCATCGATTATTCTATCATACGCGTATTATAAAACATCTGTTCGCTCGCCCTTAACCGATTCAAAGAATACCTCGAAAAGAAACATTTATCCATCATAATTCAGTACAGAAGAGATAAGAACTTAATACCTAATAAATTAAACTTATACTTAATGTATATCACTTTAAAAAAGCTTTCAAGCCTTACAAGGCTTTTCCTGGAAGCTTTTAAGTGATATAGAAATTGAATTGAATAAAGATGGTTGTGCTGTTTCTTTTACAGTAAATGACACTTGGATTTGACTGTATGAATGTGTTGAATTGTAAAAAATAATTTATTAACTTCAAAAACACCAAAATATTAACAATTTAACTATTTTACTAGTTTCTCAGTTATCTACAATCATTTATGACGCACTAACAAAAAAATATTTTTATAAGATACATAGTATATGAGTATATTTGAACTTTTTTTACACAATAAGCTTAATTATATTATTTAGTACCAGGTAATTAAGACCCTGCATATTTGTTTCTTTTCCTTTTAATTATTAATACACAATGTATTAAATATGTTTTTATTTACTAGTGTACTATTATTTTCATAACTTATCGATTCTATGAAATAGTTGGTACACATTTTAATTAAATAGTTCTAGGTCAACTAATAAATTCATTAAAATAAGGAAATATTATGTTCTTATTAAATTTAATTAGCTTATTACAAATAATTATATTATATTAATATTCAACAAACAATTCCTAATCATAATATTAATAAAAGTACCAATTATCCTAAATCACATAACATATTTTAGTCTCTACAAATGTTAACTCATATAGACGAACGACTTATTTAAGGCTAGCGACTCACCCTCGCTTCGCTCGGGTTCGTCTCTAGTACCTTTTCCGGGTTAGTATAGATTTCTCAGAGATTAGATAATATTTTCTAGGAGTAAATAGTATCCAGCTATCACTATACCAAACATCAAAATCTCTAAAAACTACTCATATTATTTATATTTAACATGATTATTTAACAATAATCTTCTATGTATATACCTTTATTATGATATATAAATAGCTGTTAAACAATTTACTATGAGTAATTAGTAGGTTTTTGCTCTTTTTTTAATTTGATGCCCATAGCGTAATTAAACCTAATCTATAATGAATAATAAATAGTCCTATTTAATAATAAATCGATATTTAGTCAATCAATCGATTCCTTATGGATATATCGCCCAGGCTAAATGGTGGGATTTAGCGGGATCACATTTTGATCACAATATCCATATTGACACATTCAATAAAATCATAGAAATATTTTTTGTGATTGGAACGTTCTTCTTTCACTTTACAAATATATATGTACGAGTACATAGTTAAAACAGAAAGCCCTTATTAAAAATTATTTACCCTAATTAATAATATACAACTCTCTATTACACCTTATAGAGTAAAGATAGATTGGTATACGATTTTTTCTCACAAAACACCTTTGTCTGCGTCAGTTAAGTTCTGGTCGATGGGACAGATTTTTGCAATAGTACCGTTAGCATGTCCATTTACATTGATACTTAGATATTTCTTAACACTGCGTGTCTCATATCGCATTCACGAATCACTGAAATCAAATAATCTAAATATTGCGTTGACAGCTTGCGTTGAAATTGAAACAGAACGTGGTGTAGCTTACAAAACGGTATCAGGGTGATATCTGTACAATTATCGTACAAGTCGCAGTTAGATTTACATTGCCACTGGAGTTGTTTCAATTAAACGTTGACGCAGATATAAATAATGGATGCAGTACACGTGTCCACTAGTTAGCAGTAGTGTTCATTATTGAAAAGCGCAGATTGCATTTTTTAAGTAATATCGCAATATATTTATTATTTTTTACTAAGCAATGGTAACTTAATTGGTGTAAATTACAACATTTAAACTTTTATCACATTTATCAGTTGATATATTCTACTTTAATTGTACAAATTGTTATATTTTAACTTCAAAACCCGACATTCACTATGATTAGTTTTTGTATATAAGTTATAAATAATATTATAGTAAAAATAATAATAAACTAAAACAGCAAAAATAAATATAAGAATGCAAATAAATAAATATAGATAACATTCCTTTATGTTTTTATATCTGTTGTCTGTGTTTCTGTTTATTTGCACATCATCGAGAACGTCTGACGAATATTATTGGAACTTTTTTGTTTGCATAAGTCCACCATTCTTATCAAATCAAATCAAAATATTTGACAGATTCTCAAAAGTATTTTTGAATCGATTTTTACAATTATATTTATTTACTAAAGTCAGTTAGTACATGAGGTGCGTTACCAAGGCCCGTGAGGAACGGAACAGTTTTTTAATTAGCCCGACAGCCTAATTAATAACATCGTTAATTATAACTGAGTTATGTTTTTATGAACATTTCTTCGTCAAAAATCGGTAAGTATACGAACTAGAAATGTACGAGCAGGCAGTCTCGGTTAAATTAAATTCAAAAATATCATATCAAAGATACGTTTCTCGCTAAGAATAATCCTTTAGACCGGTGGTAGCCCAGTAGGAACGCAATCGCTGGGAGATTCAAATACAGAATATGTATTTTCATGTGCGAATCATTTTCAATATGATTACCACTTGCCTTACAGAAACAAAAACATCATAAGGAAACTTTCATGCCTGAAGGAATTTATCAAGTTTATAACTATAATGATCATTACAATATATCCGAAACAAATAAAAAGGAATCATTTAAAATTTAAATCAAACAGTTATATTCAAAACTCAAATAAAATTTAAATTTAAATCAAAAACAAAAATATATTCGATAGGTACTTAATTATAACTTAAAATAGTACTTAATCCAAGTTACACTTAGATCTTAGTACTGTATAATACAGTAAAAGGAAATACTGATATTCATACTGTGAATCCTAATAACCTATCTATGGTTCTTACTATAGATAAAATTTGACATATTTATAATATATATATATATATATATATATATTATATATATATATATATATATATATATATATATATATAATAAAATTGTAACTAAGCCGAATCTGTACATTAGATATATTTTGAAAAATTGAAAATGACATTATTATCGATACAGAGGCCGAATCTATAGTTTTTAGAATATAGTCTGCCTGTCTGTCTGTCTGTTACCGCATCACGGAAAACCCACTGGAGGGATTTTAATGAAATTTGGTACGATGATAGCTGGTTATCCGGGTCAACATATAGGATACTTTTTACCGCAAGAAAATATATCATTTCTGAGAAAAAATACAAAAACTGCAATGTAAGAGTAAACTAATATGTAGAACCTACGAATTTGGTTTTTGATCATCTGAACGCGAGCGGAGCCGCGAGCAATGCTAATCTTTAGTAAAAGAGTACAACGGATAGACAAATAATTGGGACCTACTTTAAATGGTATTTACTTTTAAATTTTAAATAATAGGAGATACTAACTGATAACGCCTTGTGTGGAGCCGTCGGCCAGGACGTGGCCGGCCAGCATGGCAAGGAGACACAGCAGGTAGGGCGCGTGCAGTGGGCGCAGCGGGACACAGGCTGGCATTGTCGCGGCTACACGCCGCTGCGCGTCCCTCGCATCACACCCTCGCGCCTCGCGGCTAGTGCGCACCTGCAACGTCACACCACACGTAACGAATCACCGCCTACAAAGCTCGCTCATGACCACACTCACGCGCATGCTCTCGGAATGCCAAATCACCCTTGCAGATCGAAAAGGAACACTAGCTTACATTATTCTTAATCTGTTTATTTATATTGTAAATAATTGTACACTGGTGTATTTCGTGTAACGAGTTCGTTAATTAACTATACTGCAAATCTTATTCAGAAATCTAAGCTTGGGTTTTTAACAAAAGCGTTCTATTATATTTAAATTTAGTTTTTAAAATATAAAAAGTGACCATAATTTGTCGTTATTGAACAAACATGCATTTTTAGGTTTTTTTTATAATGGATAGTTTTTTATAATAATACATACATATTTTAAAGTATCTTGACAGAAATTTTTGAAACGTCTAAAGTTTAGTCTATCCCGTGACCATGATAGCTGTAAAACATTCTAAACTTCAGGAACCAAAAATCAAAATAAATCCGCGAAATAATCCGAAAAGATAGTTTTATTTATAATATCTTAACAGATATTATAGTGTAATGATATTTTCTATTACAAACTAAAGACAACTAAGATTAATAACATTACCAATGACATTTTGTTTTTAAATTATGTTTTTCCAATCCAAAATAATATAGAATCCTAAAAACTACAAAAGATTTGTGATGTCACGATGTAGAGGAGTCAATGGACTCAGAATTATCAGGTGATAAGTGGTTTATTTAGCGCGAGTTTTTACAAGCCGCCCTAGATACAGCACGGTGATTGATCGAACAGGATGCGAAAGTCTGTATGCAAGTAGAAATTCTGCTTAGAACATTTACTAATAGTTGTTATCTCTAAGATTGGAATTAATGCTTAATTAAAAAAGTAGAGTTCGATCTACTTTAAGTAATTGGGCATATGTGCTTTTAAAGTTGATTCGAAAGGCTTTTAGGTTTAATTTAGATTTTGGTGTAAATAAAATAGCTCTGTAATAAGCGTTGAGTTAATTTAACATAATATAGCAATTACTAATTATACCTATATATATATATATATATATATATATATATATATATATATATATATATATATATATATATATATATATATATATATATATATATATTATTAATAATAAGAGTTATGTGATGTGAAAATATCTACTAATAAATTAATTTTATATATTACTTCCAAAAACATATAATGTTCACACATAATTAGGTAAATGGACGTAAAGTAAGGAATAATCCAAGAAAAGATTATTTAAATTAACATAATAATATTAGCACAAACAACTATCTCCAATGACGCAAGTACCTGCATACATTAAATCAAAGTAAGTACTGACGTCTATCCCTTTGTTACTTATTTATAACTAGCGACTCACCCTCGCTTCGCTCAGGTTCGTCCCTAGGTACGTGTAAGTATGGAAAAAAAAAATTTTTTTTCAATTTTTTTTCGTGAAATATTCCGTTTTTTACAAATCCAACAAAACAAACATTATAAAAATCGGTCCAGCAGTTCTCGAGTCATAAATGTTGTAACAAGGTTTGTTACAACATTTACAACTTTATTTTAGGTATATAAGTATATAGATTAGGCCTAATTAATTTCTAAATGCCTAGCGTTGAACATTTACTGGAGGCGTTTGTAAACTCACCTCTTTTATTATCTATATATACATAGTAAAACTATTTTAATTGATTTTAAAAATATATATTATGTATAGATTTTTATGCTATACCTACTTTGGAAGCATTTTACTTTATTATTACCATTAACAGTGTACTTAATATAGCGAAGAAATAGACAAAGCAGTTGACCTAAGTGACAACATAATATAATGTACATTGTAAAGTAGGTACACAGTTGTAGGTAATGCACTATCTATACATATAATAAAATTCTGAGTCGAATCTGTACATTAAATATTTTTTGGAAAATTTTATTGAAATAGTTATTATTATCGATACAGAGGCCGAATCTATAGTTTTTAGATTTTATGTCTGTCTGTCTGTCTGTTACCGCATCACGAGAAAACCACTAGACAGATTTTGATCAAGTTTGGTATGATGATAGCTGGCTATCCGGGTCAACATATAGGATACTTTTTACCCTGGGAAAATATCTCATTTCTGAGAAAAAATACAAAAACTGCAATGTTTGATTATACTGATATGTAAAACCTAAGAATTTGGTTTTTGGTCATCTGAACGCAGGCGGAGCCGCGGGCAATGCTAGTATTCCACAATATTGTAGTGTTTTTTGGCTAATAATTTAAATGAATGGTTGTTTACCTTTTTGACGTCAGCACCCACAGACACTCAGCGTGATACGTATTTATGACATAATTGAATGTAATAAAGATATATTACGTATTCCTGTATCAATTTTTATAAACAGACCATTAGATAATTTGTATTGTTTTATATTAAAATCAATAATTTGACTGCGTGAACTGATGACATAAAGTAGGTATGGTATACCTACATACTTAAAAGCGGAAAATCGTTTTAATTAGAGAACCAGTATGACAACCCTTGTTCAAAGTGATCCTGTCTATTAACCTGACGCTAGCAAGATTACAGACGTATACATGATTAGGATATAAATATATATACATATAAAACTAAAGCTCCTTTTCAACAATATATTTTAAATATTTCATTAATTACTGTAAGAAATATTCAGAAATGACTATCGATATACCAAAACGTTCTAGTGAAAAAAATTCATAGATACATAGTTAACTAACCCAAACTAACTTTCTTAGGCCATTTTTTATAACATTCCATGCGAACATTGACCTCAAATAGGTACTTAAAAGTTTAGCAATTTTTTATTATTAGTATTATAATGTAGAAAATGTTAATATTGTATATAAGGGACAAAGTTAAACCATGATCAAAATGAGCTGTGTTCTAAAATATGTCCCAAGCAAATAAGAAAAGCCGAATAACAAGTTATTACGATGAATTTTAAATGTTCTTCTGCACTTCATCCTTGATAAATACGAAAATAATGCAATTAAATATGAATATTGCTAAAGCTATTCGATAGATATATTATTTATTCGTAACTGATTGGGCGCCGCCAGTCTCGATCTAAGACATTGTCAATTAGGTTAGTTCCGGTTTCAGATCCTCTTTGGTAATGCGTTTTAGAAGCAACTAAAATACTCTTAATGAAACATCAACATTTTTTGCGAGACACTCTTGATAGGAACTTTTACAAAAAATATAAATCTAGCAGCATTTATTAAATATAACTTCTTTAACTTCTTTGCTTAAAGACCTCATAATAAATCTCATTAAATTTTTTTTGTATTTGTAGAATAACATTAAACGTTACTGATGTTTCACATTCTGCCAATTATTTTTTATAACATAAAACATGAGATGCATCGTAAATTAAAGACGGTAGCCTCATCCGGTATCAAGCATTGTTAATTTTTTTGTTCCACATGTCATCAGTTAATTGTCATTAAAAATGCCACTCAATAGCTTTCATAAAAAACAAACAGTGATATGAAAAGAGAAAAAATATGAGTACCAGGTGTATTTGTTATAGTTACTGAGAGCCGTTTAACTTTTAAAAGCATCTTTACAGATGCATTATGTACAGCATAAACTAACGCTACATATTTTGTAAATTACAAGCAATTTTAGAGAAGGCAACATTTTCGAATCAACATAATTATTAAAACGATTCATATTTTTTTTTTTAATAATTTGGATTGTAGGAACTATAAGATTTATTTAAGATTTATTATATTTATTTAAGATTTTACATACGTACTTAATACGTACCTAGGTACTTATACTTTAAATTGTATTATCTAACTCTTAAGTGAACAAATTGAATTTCCAGTATATTAATTATTGCGATACGTATTATTTCAAATATTCCGATATAAACTACATAATATATCGATACTTCGATATATTACTTGAATTTTTATTCTATTCGAATTATATTCGATTACGAGCCAGATTTTCATAATCATAATGATACAAAACAATTTTATTAGATAGTTTTTAACAGTTCCGATTAGTTCATAATATTATGTTTTATTATGACTGAACAAATAAATGTATACAACACAAATGTATGTAACAAATAAATGTAAATATATACACCATAACATGCTACAGCCACACATCACATCACGGCCAAAGTGTCATCAAGTATCATCAAGTATGAATAAAAACGTCTAATTTTAATAGAGCAAAGGAATGCACGGGGGCTATTATCGATACAAAATTATTTCATAGATTATTTTTATTGAAGTTGTAATCTATATTCACAAAATTGGCTCAAATGTGTTTAAAAAGTTATCTCAATTTATATATCGGCTGCCTCTAATTTACCAATAAAATAAATGATTTACTTAATTAATTAACTAATAACACTTATCTTCTGTCAAAAGTAATAAACATATTAAACTTATTCATATCACAATTGTAAAAAAAAAAATTAAATTAAATTACAAGCAACATAACCACTAAAGTAACACAAAATATTAGGTATTTTAATAAGATAAATTAAATCAAATAATATATTTAAAATTAAATAACACTAATCATTGCAGTAATAGGTTTCTCTAAAAGAACTTACGCACTTCCCGGGTATCAAAAAATGTAATTTTAATGGAATAATAATATTATTTTATTTTTCTTTAAACAATAAAACTACTAATACTAACATGAAATGTCATTATATGATTTCTACAAAATACAAGACAATCTCACACAATAATAAGAAAAACACTAAGTAATAACAAACTAACAAAAGACCACCGTGCTGGTCTCTGGGAAGGCAGTGGTAAGCATTTAGAATTATTCGCTTTGTTTGACCATGGGAACTTTAGCGCCCACCGTGCACAACTTCCGAGAACATATTCAGCAATTGATAAAATTAATTACATGACAGATTTCTTGTTATCGTATTTATATATTGTCTATATTTATTTTAGGAAGTAGATAATTTAACAAAACCAAATTTTTGCCCGT